GTATTAAAACAGAAAAGGCCAGTTCGAGCACCTTATATAGGTGAGCCTACGAAGTGTTAGATTATGTCAAATAAAATATCGAATTGTTGAAATCAGCAGTGAAGTTATGCCAAATTCATCTTGCTAAAAATGATACTCATGAAGAAATGAGTAGAACAGATTACCATATAGAAGAGATGGAAGTTAAAGATGGAAGTTAGAGATCATACTGTACAGCCAAGTACTGTAATTGCTGAATACAGGCATTCTCCTAAATCGGCTCTTGCGTTTTACTGCGAACATGATTTTAGTAAGAAGTCGTATGTAGATCTAGTCAGGGATTTGCGCATCAGAAAATGTAATATTTACCCTTTTTACTCTATGATACAAAAAGAATTGAAGAATTGCCTCATATTATCCTATGATATACATACAGAAGTTGAAAATCGCGTTTCTCTCCACAATATTTTAAATAAAATAGCGCAACAACTATGTTCTGCAGTAGCATTTTCTTGGAGCAAACAGGACTTACAACACTTGCAGCCAACTATGACACTTAGGTTTGATAGCTCTGCTGGTCATTGTAACCCACAGCAAAGCTATACCGATTCAAATGTAATTGATCAAGATACTCTGCAATCTTTGTTTGTTTCTAGTATGCTCATTGTTTAACTACAAAGTAGATCTAATGGTAAGCAAATTGACTGTTAATCGTTTGTATCGTTTGCACAGTAAAAATTGTGTCATAAAAAATTTTATGATTTAAAGAAGGCCTTATTTAGAGTAATTTTAGTTGGGAATATAATATAAATATTTCTACACAAGTACTAAATTTTATATAATCGATAATATCTGCCTGAACAAGGCAAAAAACTTTATACGAGAAAAATTTCTTCGGCCTTCAAAACTATACTCTCATCTTATTATCTGCCTTATCACTCTGTCATTTGATCTCTTCGAATATATGTTTTATACTATTCTAAGTGAGAGCAACGTCTAATCATCGGGCGTCCTTAATATATTGATGCTTGGTCAATAAAAACCACTGTCTCAGCACAAAATTTAGGAATTATCGTAGAGATTATTTTGGTAATATAAATACTAAATTATTTTGTTACAGCTAATTGCACATGGAAGAATCCAAGCCCACAGAGTTATAGATTTTGTGGACCAGTACGAATTGCATTAAAGAAGGAAACGCTGGAGTCTATACTTACAGAGTATAATCGTTTAAACCGTGAAATATCCACACTTACATCATATGCATTTCAGTTAGATAATGGACAAGAAGCAGAAGTGTCATTTAAAGTTTTTGTTACATTACTAGAAGGAAAATGTGTAAACGCAATCGTAGGAAACAAAGCTACATGTAAATGCAATATTTGCTTTTGCACTAATTCTCAATTCGATAAAGATGTATCAACCGATTTTCACCTCATTGATGAATCATTTATGGAGCTTGGCCTTGGCCTTCTACATGCTGAAATAAAAGCTTTTTAAAATCTTACATACATATCATACAGACTTTCTTTGCAAACATGGACAATTAATGATAATATTAAAGGTGAAATATAAATTGGAAAACTCTTCTTTTCGCTAGTCCGTAGCACGTGCAGTGACTGAAGTGTATGTGTATCTTTCGTGTGTAACTAAATAAAGGATACAAGATATTACCTTCTAATGAAAATTGCAAGACGTAATTGTAATAATAAGGCCACGTTATCGCACTGGAAATCGCAAAAAAAAAATTTTACTTTTTTCAGACCTTGCACAGCAGGGTTTATTACTTTTCTTAAGTGAAGCAATACAATTTTCAATTTTAAATAAAAATCCAAACTATTGAACGAGTTTGTCACTCAGTTACATTCGATGTGTCCTTAAGGTTGTACCTTCCAAGTTGGACCAATCGTTTAAATGTAAATAACTATCATTTACTCATAGATATTCATGTAAAAACACACATACCATCGTTTTAAGTAATTGAGTAAGCATGAACATACGATTGGGTTTTTCACATGAAGTCCGAAATTGATTGCTATTGGATATTTTAATGAATAACTGTGTAAGAAAACTAAAATTTACAATGTTTCTTTAGAAATTTAATTTTATTTAAAGTATTCTTGAATATAAATATTATTGATTATGAAAGAAGTAGGCTTTTTTTAAAAATAGCTATAACGTCTTGCAAAAAAGTTCATATTTTTAATTGTTAAAAAAAATGAAGTGTTAAATCAGTAACCTAACTATATTATTTTGCATAGTAATATCCATATTATTTCAGAAAAGGCAGATGAGCAAAGTCAAATTGTACGAAATAGAATTTACGAAAAGTTCAAGGTTCGAGTTGACCCAGTCCTTCAAGGGCATGGTACCACTACCAACAGTAACGTTGCTCAAAAATGCTTCGCGGAACCAGAGGAATTTGCTCAAGTTCTTGAACTAGATTAAACGCTGGTGAAAAATATTTCTCTCGTAATATCATTATTTAAAAGCAAGCACACACTAGTTCTGAGCAAAATGAATACACTGTGTATTGAAACTTATAAAAAGTATTACGAATATTATCCCTGGGCAAAGATGAGCCCCACATTACACCAATTGCTGGCTCATAGTTGTGAGATCGCGAAAAAGTTCCCTTTACCTTTAGCATATTTTTTCGAAGTTTGTAGTAAAAGCTGGCACAAGTATTTTCGCAGAAATTGGACTGCACACGCATGTCAAATAAGCAGGAAGCTTAGAATTCTAGACGTTTTTAATAGTGCAGTTTACATGACAGACCTTAACATTTCATTAGAGTACATTGAACAAACACAACGGCTAAAGGCGAATCATTTCAACGTTCAAGACTTAAGTGGATTCACGCAATTACAGTAAGTAAAAGTACTTATATAGTCTCTACAAAGTTATTTTTAAACTTGTTAATTTCAGTGTGATATTCAATAAAATTAGAGACAGTCAACAAGTAATAGATTTCAAAAATCAATGCAGGCATAATATTATAAATTACCATTGTTAAAAAATCATTATATCCTATTTCTCTATGTAAATGTAGTAATTACATCGGAATCTCTTATTACAGTTGTATTATACGCTGGGGAAAAAAAAGATTACGTAATGAATTTTTCATTCTGTGTGCAGTATCTTAAACTTGTTATATTCACTAAGCAAAACAATTATTTTATTTTTTAATCAAAAGTTAGATTCAATTGTACTAATTATTAAATCTAAACTAAACAATTTTAACTTGTTTCAAACCGAGAATACAGTTGCAATTCATTTACCAGCTTCTTAAAAATACTTTTAAACAATTGTGTACATCATCACGAAACTTTAATGATGTCTTACAAATGATAAAAATAACGTCTTAAATTGTAGAGTAGTTAATTATATGATATTTTCTTGATTACTTTAATTACAAAAGCGATGAATACGTTTCAATAAAATGTTGCCACTTAGTACATCTTATATGGCTATTATTTTGAATACCTAATGTAAATTAAAAAATGGACTCTTTTGTCTCTTCACAATGGTATTAAAGCAATATTTTAGAATTTAGTATTACTCTGTTTAATGAATTTTAATACCCGTAATGGTGAGATGGACTGATTATTATGCGAATGTAACCAAATAAAATAATATAATTAATTTTTGCAAGGTTATTGGAGAATGAAATTATGTTAGAAATAAACGAAAGTAATTATGAAAAGTATTTCCATGTAAAAGTATTATTCATGTAGTTATTAACCGATGTCAATCATAAAATTATAAACATTTACAGGAAGAACAACGATGATATAAGTGACATGGAAACGGAATCCGATTGAGAGTGAAACAAGCACATAATAATTTAAAAGCATCCATGACATCATCGCACCTCATCGTTTTGCTATTATTATATGATTATAATCATGAAAGGCACCAATTCGATCAAGCTACTTTATATTCCTGAGAAATCAAATAGTAAGAGAATGAATAAAGAGAACAAAAAAGAATTTTCAAAACACGAAAAAAACTTCCAAATACCACATGAGTATACAGGTTATATTTTTTATCACTGAGTAGTTATTTATCACTTCCAGCCATAACACTTACACTTCTGAAAACTTTCTGAAGAAAATAATTTTTTTTTTTGAACTATCCTTGATTTTGACAAAAAAGTCACTTTTCAGACGCAATTTTAATACCTCATTTAAATGAATGAATTCTATATGTAAAATAAATATAAAGGTATAATACCAGCTCTATAAAACTCATTTTGCAACAGAAAAAAAAAAAAAAAATTAAATAGAAAAATGTCTGAAATAATCCAAAATTTGTAGGTTATGCTCTCATTTTTTACATTTCTCCTTAATTTTCTGTTGTTCCTTGTCATCATACCTATAAGATCTAAAAACTTTTATGAAAAAATATTCCTTCTAAGGAAGTTTACATAGTTTTGAAACGAAAAATATTAGTTTATCCCACCGTGCGCCCCCCTTGGTCCCGTCGTCGCTACGACCTTTGTGCATGCTGGATAATGCCGGCAAAATGCTCGAGAGGCTGATACGAACTCGTCTAAGAGGGAAAGGCAGTCTCTCGGACAATCAGTACGGGTTTTGAGGGGGACGGTTGACGGTCATGGCTGTTGCTGAGGTCCTTGAGTCGGTGAAGGAGGCGTGAAAACCCTCACATAAGACGAGAAGTGCTTGTGTCTTGGTGACCTTGACATTAGAAACGCCTTCAACTCGGCCAAATGGTCTGATTGGATGAGAGCTTTAAGGCGCCAGAATGTACCGGACTACCTTGGAAAGATACTGGATAGCTATCTCCGCGGCCCTGACTTATGGAACCTAGTCTATGATAAACTTCTGTGCCTTGAAATGCTTCCGGGGGTCAAGCTGACATATTTTGCTGATGACATAGCACAGCACGTCACAGCGAGATCCCGAGAGGAGGCCGAGCGCAAAATTTGGTGGGTGGTCGCGATAGTGTTGGAGTGGCTACGGGATCACGGTTTTGAACTGGCGATCGACAAGACGGAGATGGTCGTCCTTACTAGGCAAGAGTGGTTCGGGGGGGATTTCTGCCTGAACGTTGCGGGTGAGGCAATCTGCGCAAGCCCAGTTGTGCGCTACCTGGGGGTGTGGGTCGACTCACAGCTCACCTTCTGGGAGCACATCAAGAGAGCAGACGACAAAGACGCCAAGGTTGCGGGAGCGCTTACACGTTTGATGCCGAATATTGAGGGCCCGTAGGAAGCCAAAAGGTGGCTCCTGGCGTCGGTCTCTAACTCGATACTACTGTACGGCGTGGAGGTGTGGGCAGATGCGGTCGCGAGACGAAACATCCAAAAGCGTCTTATTTCGGTGCAGCGCATCGGATCTCTAGGGATCGCTTGCCCCTACCGCACGGTTTCCTCTGCTGCTGTTATGGTGATATCACGAACGATTTCCGTCGTGTTGCTTGCACTGGAGTGGCGAAGGAAATTCCTGGGCTCCGATGGCGAAAGCGATGGCGACAGACGGGAGAAAACGTTGACGACGTGGCAACAGGATTGGGATCGTGCTAGTGTTGGTAGATGAAAGCACTGGCTGATCCCGAACTTGCGACCATGGGTGTGGAAACGGCACGGAGAGGTAAATTATGACCTCACTTAGTTCCTCTCTGGGCAGGGTCAGTTCGATTCCTATCTCCACCGCGTGGCGGTGAATGCATCCTCCAGATGTGCCTACTGCTCCGTTTTTCGTGTGCGAAAGATGGCACCGTGAGCGCCAGCAACTGTTGGACAGGCTCAGCGTGACATCCACTCCCGAAAACATCGTATCTGAGATACTTCGCACCGAAAAGGTATGGAGGGCGGTGAACGGTTGCGTGGGGTCATTGGTCCGTCTCAAGAAGAAAGAGGAGAAAGCCGCCGAGTGGGATGCTGAGGCTGCCCTTTAGGCAGCAGCATAAGAAAGCATCAAATGTTGTAGAGCTAGAGAACGGGTGCCAATCTTTAGGGATCCCGAGTCCTTTTAAGGACTCGAAAGGATTGGTACCTCTAGCAAATGGTGGCGAGTTAGCTTGTTAATGCTGTGAGACGTGATGGTCTCCCTGGTGGCTCCACCCCGAAGTAATGCTAACGTGGTTCCGGGGTGGAACTTAAACCACGCGGCATGGGGGGGGGGTTTGTGGGTATGGATGGTCTCAGAGAGACACCCTCACTGATACACCTTTAAATTTATACTGAACTTTTACAATTGACTGGCTCCGCTGCATATAAGGAGGATATTGTACAACGCATCTAAAGCTTTACTTGGTTACTTAGGTGTTTATACTTCGAATGTTCAGATCGAGCGGTACTGAATCAGTCCTGCACAGGCCTTAAGCAATACTTACGTAGGACTTGAATGGGACTTGCGTCAGACTTAAGCAGCTCACTTAAGAAAAATACATAGAAAGATATACAGATAGATAATTAATAAACCAGAGTATGGGACTCGGAGACCCTGGTAAGAACGAAGTTCTCACATCTATGTAGAAATCACATGTATACTGTAAAGTAGGAGGTTCGTAAACAGATGTAAGGTCAATATGTTTTTTTTTCATTTTCGTGGGTTACGATTTATATCTTCCTTGTACATTCGTCATGGATAAAAGGCTCAAGAACTTTTTAAAATGATTATAAGGTTATTGTTAGGCAAAGAACGAGAAATATATCCTAAATATTTGTAATAATTTTGCAAACATGCTGTAATTATTCCACAAATTTTCCACCTTGATTTTAGAGAAAAATTTTAAAAATACTGAAATTAAAGGTTATGTCTTCACATAACTAAGCACCTTTCTTTTTACGTGCCATGATGGTTTTTTCCCATTTAGGAAACCTATAAAACTTGTTACCTTTTCTATATTTTGCTTCGTCTTAAAAATATGGCATATTTCGAATATTTGAAGGTTGTGTGCACGCATGACCATAAAAAATCATTTCTGCATTATAGTTATTCACCTTCGTTTTTGTGCGCCACGATATTTTAAATCCCTTTAGAAAATTCCGTAAAACTTGTTATTTCTGCTCTATCTTGTTTCCTTTTAGAAATATTGCTTATTTTGTAATATTTGGCGGTTATACTATATTATAAATACCAGTTTAATCAATACTGGCTATCTGCATCGATCTGCCATACATGCGAAAATTATTTGTTAATGTGCTTTATCAAAATATCAAAATTAACTAGTGTATATAGTATTAATATTAACCACCATATTCTATACACATGCATGCAGTCAAACATGTACACACTTGGACTGTAAAAGTAGAAACTAACACACACACTTATTATACATGCACATTTTCATGGTTGCGTCCGTAATTCTGTGAACAAGTTACACTCACATACATACGTGCAAGTGTGCATTGTATACAAGGACACTGCATACAGTAACACACTACGACACGGCAATAGGAATATGCGCGTACACGCTTCCTCTGTCTATTTATTTTATTAATTTTAGTATTTAAATTTGCCACTAATTTCCTACTAGTTGTGTGATTGTGGCGCCTGAGCTTAGATGAATGTGAGGGTCGTGTGTATAGATGTCGACCAAAACAGTGCTCCCATTCATTTAAGGAGGTTTTGGAGTATTATTCAGAGAGGCGAGGAACGATGAGTCCCCCCTGCTCGCGAAGCTGACTCCCCTTTCTCACGCACCTCCTCTTGCACTCTACAAACTTGAAACTGTATGACTGTACTGCTTATTTTTTTTAAAAATGCCTGGCAAGGCTTGATTTTTTTTGTCGATCATCTTTCTTTTGTACGAAGGTATCTATCAAAACGTTTTTTTTTTATTCCAACACATTTAGAATATTCCTTAATTTCAGTTAAAGGATAAACCTAACCTCGCTCTCTCATAAAAGACCGTGGTGAACTGTCAATATTTCATAATTTGTTTCTTGAAAATTTTCTGTGTGGAAAAATCTGAAAAAATTTATGTGCCCTCTGAATATGCTCAAATATAAAATACATTTTTTTGGTGCGTTTCTCCATTTTGAACTTTTCTCCCAAACCTCCTTAACTAACATTTGTTTGTAAAAAATTGTTTTTGCATTTAATTCGTAATATCAAATTTTCTTTTATTTTTCTTTTTTTTTCCTAGCCAGCGATAATGAGAGTGTACGCGTTTTTTCTTACACTCTCTGGCAGATAGATCCCCGTTCCCAATCGTCCTTATACACAGGAAATACACGGGGAGTATAAATCCCATCGTAACCCGCGATAAATAACTTCGTTTTAATAACATTTTTAGCTATTATAGATACGTTTAATTTAAAGAACAAAATAATTGAAGGTGATAGTCTTTTAGAGATCATGTCTTACTGTTAATTAGTATCGACTATTTTCTGATGCAGATGGCGCTGTTTTAAATTACTGTACGAAGCGAACACATGAACTACCGTCTGAAACGAACAGTGCTGTGGTAATAAGTTATCAAACAATGTATAATTTGATGTATCTTTTTTGGAGATGTGTCACGAGTGCTTTTAAACATTTTACTTTTTAGGTTTTTCTCAAAAAAAGAATAGTTTAAGCATTTGTAGCCACTAAGTAGCCTAATATCCGCATCTTATTGGCAGAGAAATGCGTAAACTGTTTAATTGTAATAAAGCTGTTCCAATACTAGATTCATTTATAAAAGCGTTTTAGAAATAGTAAGGATACATCAAAACTTAGCAGCTCTGATACTTTTATTAAATCAAGAAAGTTCAAAATTACTTTTTATGAAATTAATAATGTTTTTTTTTTGTTACAGTATTTTGCTATTCAATTAATTTTAATGCGTTGGTACTAGTCTTTGCAGGGGACGTTCGATTATCTGTGACTGGAATTGCTAACAATGTTTTTTAGGAGTCAAATTTGAAAAGCAGAATATTTAAAAGTGGTCATAACAAATCTACAATAAAAATGTTACCACAGAGGTGGAAACTGTTTACTACAATACTTATTTTATTTGACAAGTCACTTTTAATTTAGACTTATTTAAATATTATTACGTACAATACGTTGACCTGTTTAATTTCTCAAGTCTACATTATAAATGACTTGTTGACTAGAACGACAAGTCTTGTAGCGACTAGTTTGTATACAACTTGTGAATCTATGTTTGTTTCTATTGTAGATTTTTTTTAACCATTTTTACAGATTCTTCTAATTAGATTTCTCTAATGTAAGGGATCTTTTATGAGTTCTAGCCACTAGTGGTCTAACATCTTTATTTGAATAGCAAAGACTACGAAAAAAGCGTTAAATTATGACAAAGCTATGTAAATGACAAGATACTATGGCAAAATTTTGATATAATCTTAATATAATATGAAAGTTATTCTAAACCGTGTTGATTTAAGAAAGGTATTGTTGGCTTTCTTCTTGAGCTTTATTTTTTCCTTACCACTTGTAAAATGCCTTCATTAATGACACTAGTACCAGAACAGCTTTGTTACAATGGAATACTTTAGTTGTTGTCTCTACAAATCAAATAAGGATGTAAGACCATTAGTAGCTGGAACTGATACTAAGATTTGTTTTGGGAGACAAACCTTCAGAGCTGATTTTTTTAAAATTACTTACAAAAAATCTACAATAAAAAGACACCTAGACTTACAAATTGTTTGGTAGCTATTTACTGCAATACTTGTTGTGTCAGTCTACATGTAATTTATAACAATCAGATTGTAGACTTAAAAAACCATGACTAATCTAGATCATTTAAAACTAATGTTATGTTATTTTGACTTAAAAAATATATCTCTAGTACGTACATGTGTATGTATATGCATGAATACATAAGTATGTATGTGTGTATGTCTGCGTGTGTTAAACATGAAACATGCAGACCTAACGTATCTTTTATTTCATACTAACAGCATCGGAAAGTCTCGCCCTGTAACGCACTGTCCTTGTAAATACAACATTGTCTTTCTAATTATCGTGGTCACTTTTTTATTTTCCAGAATGTCTGCATAAAATACCTTTTATTTGTGTTAAAACCCAATAAGCCGTTGTTAGAGCAGGTCTCTTTTTCTTCTAGTCCCATTTATTTTTATTAGACAGTTTTTAACGGGAATCGTTGTTTTCGCTGGAAAAAAGCGATAGTAAGTCTGAGAAAAGTTGTACAATATGCTTAAAATGTAGTGGTATATTAGCTTATAATTCTGTTTGATTTTATAAAACTACATAAAAATGTATTGTCTCATGTATTGCTATCACATAGCGAATATTCTTTTGATATGATTACTCACATCATACTGTCGAGTCGCTTAGTTATTAAATAATAATTGATATTCTATATTGATAAATGAAATTGTATAGCATAGATTTTAAGTTACATTAAATGTAAATTGTTATTCCAGCTTTCAGATAACCTTATCAAGAAAAGTTTTCTGCTGATCTGAAAATAAACGCCAAGAAAAAAAGTTTTAAGAAAATATGTTTTTCAGAATAAAATTGTTTCAATAATAGAATCTTGCTAAAGTGACTGTCAGGGTTTGTTTATATCTCATATACAAATGTTTTCTTGAAGGAAATACATTACAAATATAGTTTTATAATTTTATGCGGCGAAAACTATAGACGTACGAGTGAGGTAAGCGCTACCCTAATGGACACACAAGTAACCCCTCTGGATGGATCAAAGTATTATCTCATGAATTCAACTCTTGACTGTACGTATGTTCAGGAGTATAATAAGCGTTGCTATAAAGTATTACGTGAGTTGAAAAAAATATTACAAGAAGATGTCTTAGTCAAATCTAAATTAAAACACATGCTAAAAAACTATCCTTTCTCTACACATACCACAGACATTTTATTAAATTTAAACTATGAAAGTAGTTTTTTTCCAGAAAGTAAATTGAATAATCATAATTATTCCTATCTGGAACCAAATAACACCAAATTAAAAAAAAAAAGAGTTTCTGCAGAATGTTACAGAAATTCATACGAAAAGAATGTTCAACATTTCTTTAGTAGTAACGATGACTTGAAAAAGTCGTGTAAAGAATCTCCCCCATATCCTAAAAATACACCAGTCTTCTCGAATAATGTTACGGATCAGACAAATACTGGAAGCAATACTCCTCCAACATCATTTCCAGTACTAAAAGGTTATTTTTCAAATTTAACCATAAAAACAGACAGTGTATCTAAATCAAAAAATATTAATGGTATACAATGTTCAACAGACAAAAAGTTCAAACTTGACAAACAAGATTTAAATGATGCTTTGATGGATAGCTCTGGTAACAAAAGTTTCTTTAATATTACACCGAATGCTTCAAGTAAAAATGCTGATCGTACAAAAAAATTTTTGGTTTCTTCAAACATTTTATCTTCATTAAATCAACCAGTATCAAAATCTTGGGCATGTTCTACTACTGAGTCAACAATATCTTTCAAAACAATACTTCCGCACAAATGCAGTTCATTCACTAATTTAACTGTAAACAAAGAAGTTTGTATAACGATGAAAAATGAGAAAGTAAATCCGGAAAATGGTCAGTTGCTTATGGAGTCGCTTTATGCTTCGAACACACAGATCATTTCTGTAACACCATCGCAAGGAATTGAACAGTGTACCGATAATAATCATAAAAAACTTTTATGTAATTGCAACATTAGAAGTCGAAGTATATCTTCATCTAAAGCATCTCGCAGTTTGTCCCGCTCACCATTAAGAAACTTGATGGATGTACAAAATCGAAGTTGGAGTAAAAGCAGTACATATCTCAGGTATGCTTTTGAACAAATTATAATTAAAAAACTAATAGTATGCAGTGAACTGCAATAAGTTTAAATAACCATCAATTCTCATTATGTAGTAGCTTAAAACATTTTGCCAATCCAATATTTTACAAGCAACTGTAACATATCATTGATATAAAAACTTCATGATATTATCGGTCAAGTAAAAAAAGTAAAATCATAGCAGACTGATAAAAGTTATAAAACTAGGCGTTTAGTTACAAATTTGCATAGTACTGTAGTCAGTCATAATTTCTTAGTATCTTGCAAAAGTCATAAGAGTCATTTGTCCCCGTATCGAGTCGTTAAACACTTGACATCTGCACGTTAATTTAGCAAGTCAAAATTTCTTTATTTCTTGCGAAGTTTTTAAGATTCATTTGTTGTTGTACTGTCGTTAACTACTTAAGAGTCATTAAAAATCCAAACAAGGTCAAAATTTTTAATTATTATTATATGTATGTATATTTAAGAAGATTGATGACGTGATAATTCATACCCATATAAGGGTTAATATGGAGGTACCTTTTCAAGGGAAAGGAGTCGTATAAGAAACTCGTGAGTATGAAGCTTAATTTAAAATTCCCCCAGCCAGTATTACGAGATACATTACTAATAGCATGTCGTAAACAGGCAGGTTCGCACTGCCTCTGATAGGTAGTACATTACATCTCGGGTAGATTTTATGCCTTCATAAATATGTAAAAAAAGTAACTCTCTTCTAACACTTCTGAGTGTGACAGTTTCTGAATGTCTTGGAATAGCTTCAGTTCGTATTGCATGAAGATCCGCTAATTCACCCTACCTAGCCATCCATTCCCTACCTAGAGGATTAACCCCGCTTCGCAATACCCCGCAGGCCGACTCATTATCCAAATGATCCAAGAAAGTAAGCAATGGAGAGGAAAAGCTAGAAAACAGTATAAGCCTCATCGCCGTCTCACCTATTGCTATGTTTTATTGTAACCAAGATAAAATGATAAATACTACAAACTTTGAGTAAGTATACGTCTATATAAATTTATTAACGTTGAATATATCCACAACGCTTTAAAAATCTAAGCTCATGAGTAAAGGGTCGTACTCGCTGCGCAAGGCAGAAGCAAAGTGATCAGTCCGTGTTCCAGGAGGGCTATTAAAGCACAAGAACGAACGAACGAACGAACGAACGAACATGCAACGATGCGCATGCGCACTTAGTAGGAGCTCTTAAAAGTGACTGCCAAGCTTGCAGGAACTTCAAATTGACTGTATTGCGCAAGACGCAAAAATCCAGATAACCCAACAGAATTTCATACAAAAAAATTGATAAATTAACCCCAAACTATTTAACCCTATAACCTGACGGCGCTTACTAGTCACTTTGTTAATAAATAAATTGAATTAAATAATAAAACAAGCACCAATCACCATACAATTCTGAGCGCTTGCTGGTCGCTGCCTAAATAAACAAAATAAATGAAATAATAACACCAGCGCCAATCAACACAACTCTGAGCGCTTACTGGTCAATTAGTTTATTGATTAAATAAATTGTATAATAACGCAAGCACAAATTACCACCGAACCCGGGGCGCTTACTGGTCACTTTCTAAATGGATTCAATAGTTTAAATAATAACGCAGGCACTAATCAACACACAATCTGATGCGCTTACTAGTCGCTTAGTTAATGGACTTAATAAACTAGGTAATAACGAAAGCACAAATCACTACATAAACCAAAGCGCGTCATGATCGCTTTGTTAATTAATAAAATAAATAAAATAATAACACCAGTGCCAATCACTATGCAACTCTAAGCGCTTACTGGTCGCTTTATTTATTAATAAAATGAATAAAATAATAACGCAAGCACCGATCACCACACGGTTCAGGGTGCTTACTGGTCACTTCATTAATTGATTAAAAAAATTTAATCATAACCCAAGCACCAATCACTTCCAAACCCGGGGCGCTTACAGCTTGCTTCAATTATTGTTGGGTGCCAACTGGCATTTATGGTATTAGTCAATTTTTCTAATAATGACCAAAGCGATTATCAAGCGCCCCAGGTTGTGTGGTGATTGGCACTTGCATTATGATTTAAATTATTTAATCAATTAACAATGCGACCATGGCATGACCTGGGTTGTGTGGTATTTGGGCTTGCGTTATAATCTAATTAATTTTATTTATTAACAAAACGACTATCAAGTGCCCCTGGTTGTGTGGTAATTGGCGCTTGTGTAATTATTTTATTCATTTTATCAATCAATAGAGCGACATGTAAGCACTTTGAGTTGTGTGGTGAATTGTGATGATGTTATTATCTAACTTAATTTATCAATTAACTAAATGACTAGTAAGCGCCCCGAGTTGAGTGGTGATTGGTGCTTGTGTTATTATTTTATTTATTTTATTAATTTACGTAGCAACTAGCGAGCGCTTAGAATTGTGTGATCATTGGTGGTTTATTTGTTAATAAAGCGTCTAGTTAGCACCGTTAGGTTATTAGGTTAATTAGTTTAGGGTTAATTTATTAATTTATTTTGTATGAAATTCTGTTGAGATATCTGGGTTTTTCGTCTTGCACCATGTAGACAATTTAAAGTTTCCGCAAGCTTGGCAGTCACTTTTGAGAGCTCCTAGAAAGGAAAAAATAAGCAGTCCTTTTCATTCACAATCCACAGTAATTTTCATGTCCATCACTTTAAGAAATCTATGTGGAATTCCGCGTATAAATCCACTTCGATTTTTTCGTGAACGTCTGTATGGTTATCTACGTTCAAATATACAATAATCTCTACTTACAAATCAACATAGAATCGGATTACTAATTCCTTGTCAATTTCTGTGCAACCTGCGGTTATTTTCACGAAGAAATTTACGTGAAATTTTATGTACAAATATATTAAAATCCATGGGTATTATAGGTAGCGAAAGGTGTATAAATAAGTTTGAAGCTGTTATGTTAAAGATACCGGAAATTTAATAGACCCATGAGACCTATGTTTCATACGTCTAGTGAGTCAGGTGCAAAAACTACCAGTCTGATAGGCCTATGAGACTTGGGTCTAACAGATATAGTAGGTCTGTTGAAATTACTGAAAATCTGATAGGCCTATGAGACTTGAGTATTATGGGTCTTGTAAGTCTGGTTGAAATACTGGAAGGCTGATAGATTCTATAACCCAGTAATGGGGAAATCCAATGACCTAGTATTCAAATTTGCAAAAGAAAATAATGACCTGGTTAGAAAAACTTTTTTAAAGTACACAGAACTTTTAGAAAAAGTAAAAAATTACATTATAACTTATAACGGTTTACAATTTGAATTCAGTTTAAACATAAAATGCACGATGATAGATTGCAAAATGTGTCATGTTTTTTGTGATTAAATGACATCTAATCGCTGTAACATCTGTGGCGTTAGTAACAAGTCAGTTAATGATCTTAAGCACGTGAGAATCCTTGAGTGTAAGGCAGATCATTACAAATTTGGATTGTCCTCGTTACACTGCTGGATTTGCAGTATATAATACATACTCCATTTCTTCTACAATATGGAGTTCCAAACACTGTGTGCCCCCTCCTACGTAAATAAAAAATTTTTTTTTTCAATGGAAAAAAGTAGTTCAGAAAGAATTAGGCAAAATCAGAATAAGTTAGTTAGTGCAGAGACAAGCACTACGGAAAATGTGGCGCGAGATTTTTTTAAAAAAAGCAGAAGATATTGCAAAAATTACAAAATTTATTAGGGAATTATTACAGCGATTCCACAATATTCTTCAAGCGATAACATGTCGAGAGAATATAGACTATTTTCTATTTAAAGAATACGCACTTGGGACAGCAGATATGTAAGTACAGATATATCCATGGTATAGTATACCGCGCTCTGTTCACAAGCTTCTTGTACACGGGCCCGAAATTATATAACACTTCATGTTCCTATAGGCTGCTCGTCAAAGAAATCACTAGAAGCAAATAATAAAATATTAAAATGGCAACGAACAAAAATAGCAGAATGTGCGACCGTAAAAAGATGAATATTGACTTTATACATCACATATTAATAAACACAGATCCATTAACAAGTTTCATAAGATTTACTAAAAACAAAAAAAAACCATTGAGCATCGATGCTTGGCATTGTTACTTGTACCAAATTGTAAAGAATGAAATTTTCTAAAATTTTGTGTAGGTCATTAATACACGTAAAAATCCACGTAAATTCTGATAGATTTCGCACGGATTTTAATATATTTGTACGTAGAATTCCACGTAAGTTTCTTCATAAAAATAACCACAGGTTGCACAGAAATTGACAAGGAATTAGGAATCCGATTCTACATTGATTTATGAGTAGAGATTACTGTATATTTGAACGTAGATAACCATACAGACTTTCACGAAAAAATCGAAGTGGATTCGTACGCAAAATTACACATAGATTTCTCAAAGTGATGGACATGAAAATTACTGTGGATTGTGAATCAAAAAGACTGCTTATTTTATCGAATTATGATATTTCTATTTTGCTTCAATTAAGGTCAATAATCATACCATGTCACAGTAACAAATAATTATCAATCGCAAAAACATTGTAGGGTGAATATATTTATTTCTAAAAAGAAATGTTTTAAATTCAGTAGTTATAAGTATATAAACTCAATCATTGGAATACACTTTTCACTAGAATGTTCCTATAGGATATCGTCAAGAGCCCTTACGTAATTGTATGATGCTTATCTCATAAATCAAAATATGAGCTTACAGAAATCATTCTACGTTTTTCACGGATGTAAAATCTTTCTCCAAGATAAAAGTTAGGTAATATATTTGAATATTACATTATTCAAAATTTTTTTGTAACCTTACACAGCTCCTCTATCTACTGAGGATTTGAATACGGTTGGAACGCATATCGATAACCGCATAACAAAATTAGGTTGAAGGAAAGAAAAGTGTTTTTAGAAATTTATTACAAAACAAAAAATACAATCG